TTGTGAAATGTCTTTTTAAAGGAGAGGCAAGTAATGACAATAATGGTGTCATTGCAATTGTTATTGGAAGTATTTTTGGAATAATATTTTTTGGCATTATTCTTATAGGTAAATTATTCCTATAGTTATTCTGATAAATATTAATCATTATTTATTATTATTCCATTAATGTACTTATAGTGCTAGTAACTTTTGTCTGTTGGAAACATAAAACTCATTCTAAAGAATTTGAGATTAGTAAAAGTAAGTATAAATTATAATTATTATTTGTGATACTTTATAAGGAACAAGTCAAGATGTCAGTAACGTAGAGCCAAAGGTACTCTTGAACATTAATAATACTACTACTGTTAAATGTGTTTGATAGAATACAGTAAATTATGTAGATGTAGAGTGTCCAGATTCTAATGCACCAGCAAAACCTCCTCCTCTTGAAATCAGCAAAACTGTTTATTCTACAATACTCCCAGCGAACAACCAGGCCCAGCATGATGAAGAGTATTCAAGGTTAAACCACACGTCTATTCAAGAATCCTCTCAAGGTCCTAGTGACTATTCTACACTTGAGGGGCAACAGGATCAAACTGGTTCAATGCTGTATGATACAGTTACTGATAGGCCTATTCAAGGTAAGTTGCATATAGACTGGAACTAAATTAAGTATAGCTTTATTAATTCAAAGCAGCAGTAATTGTTTCAAGTCAATATTCTGTGGTTTCTAAAGAATGTGTGTGAACTTTCTGTACTTTTATATTTTTATTCTTTTTCTTGTTTTTAAGCCTTGATGACACAGTGGGTTGTTTTGTGGTAGTATTTCTATAGTATAGTTTGTACAAATATAGCAGTAGAATAATAATCAAAAGGTATTGCACAGATAAAGTAAAAGCGTATGTTGGGAATGTGGTCAGGTTTATCAATACTGTAGTCCTGTATTAGGGTAGTACCAGTCATTCCTTATTTAGTAAAATTGACTTACTGTAAAGGAAACTATGTGACAAGTGTATGTACATGTAGCTTGTGTACATTGCATGTACATGTAGGAAGGAAGGGTAGGGAGTGACTGTCAGTGACATCTTGGGTACATTTTAAAAGTAAACATCTAAAATTGACAATAAACAAGCATTATACACTACCTACATGTTGATACGCCTTCTAACACAAACAATATTTCATAAGACAGATTTCTTAAGCAAAAATAGCTGTGTGTATAATTTACATAATATAGGACGATGAGGTTACTATCATTATTTGTTATCAAACAAGTTTTTGTAAGTGAACAAAATACAATTCTACCCTCCTTGTTTACAATTACAAGTCAGTTATAGGGGAGGAAAAGAGGGAGGGAAATTCATTCTTGGGGGAGAGAAATTCATTCTTGGGAGAGTTACATGTATACCCATGAGATGATGAACAGTATTAAATTCTAAATTGTGAATATGAGTATAATTATAATTGGTCAACGGCATATTCATTTCTCGTAAACATGAGTAAAAGTACAATTCTCCAACGACTAACACTGGCT